AATTAATGGTCTATCATTTGAAACTAAATCAAAGAAACTAAAAAAATTAGTTCTTAATTTAGCAACTGTGATTAATTATGCTGCACGAATAAAATTCTGTTGCTAATAATGTTCTCATTGAATTCCAAGTGACGTAAATAAATTAAATTAATGATGAGATTAAAATTACATAAACCAAGTAGATATTGAATTTTAACGAGAAATTGTTAGTTAAAAATTTAAACTGCATTTTGGAAATGTTTTATATCATACGGAAACAAAATGTGAAAATATTAATTTGATGATATTTTGCACAATTAATTGTTTTTTATGTTATCGAACTGGATTTGAAAGTAGAGAGACGGCCAATAAAGTGAACACATACGTGATATGTTTTACAAGTACAATCGAAATTGAGGTCAATAAGTGGATAGGTGCACTATAGAATTGAATACTGAATTTCCAATTGAATTAACGGTTTTAGAAAGTCGCGGAACAATTAACTGAACGGAAACTATGCAAGAATGGTCATAAAATCGAAGGACGATTTACGTCAGCAGTCAATTTCCGGAAAAAATTGGAAATCGTTTTGTTACGTTGACGTAAAATTTTAACGCATTGCGGAAACATTTTATTGCTATACCAGTAGGCAGCTATTTTTTTGCGTCAAATAGTTTTTAAGTTACTTATGGTTTGTTAGTAGTTAAAAGAGTGTCGTACAGATACAGATTGATACATTAATGATCCCTGTGTTTCCATGTCAATAAAAAGTAAAAGCACTAATACTATTGAGGAACAGGATATGCATGAAGATGAGAAATCAGACATGGATAAGAAAAAGGAAACAAATATAGATACAGGTCATGGCACAATAGATATGAGATAAGATAAGAATAAGGATGGCTGGACTCTGGTAACAAATAAACGAAATAAATAACTTTTCTTTTGTACAAAAGATATCTTTAGTTAGCAATTTTTTCTTATAAAGTAATGGGAAGACGTAGTAAAAGAGAAAAAAACATACCTTGATAACCATAATATAACACACGCGCATTCGTTCCACAGTCATACAAATTTCAGCTCCAAAATTGTCTACAAAAATACTTTTTCCTAAGCAGCCTTTCAAAATGTTCCTAAAATGTTATTTAGCAAGCGTATCTTCTATATCTGTGAAAGTAAAATAAACAGTGAATTTATTTTAGTCAACTCCGTTTAATAATATATTGAAATTGTAAGGACATCACCTTTTCCATTTTGATAAACACTATAATAGCCGTTCTGATATTACATAATTTGATTCTTTTGCTTGCTTTTTGATTTTCTCTCGCCAGGTCCCGCTAAACTCAATATTACCGGCAGAAACAACAATCCGTGAAACAAACCAAATAATACTACGGATGTAAATAGCTAAAACAACATAAAACATGTACGTATATATACTCATAAAATAATACATTTTCGTCTTTTTTTGTTTCGCGATAATTGTATTTTCAAATATATTGATTTCATACCTTAAAGAATGTCGTAAAAAGATAAGCCCGGCTAAAGCCTAGCAGGACAAAGGCAAGAAATGTGCTCAAACCACCATTCAATACTGCTGGTCCAATAACGCTGAATGTTGTCAGTGCTCGTTCTGCAAGAATAACAAAATAAACAAAATTTTAATACATAATAGAATTGTATTATTTAAAATTTCGAGTAATAATAATCTACTCTTTAAGCTATTATTTAAGGACACATTTGCTCTGCAACAAATTCATATAATTGTATCAATCATAAATTAACTAATTTTTTATAACAATAAATTTTTTTTAGTCAACTAATGTCAATTTAAATTCTTAGAAATCTACTGAATAAAAATAACCTTGTTTACTGCCGCTCGAACGTATAAATTCCAATCCGATGTGCGCGGCGTAATCGACCGCCAATCCGGCGCACAATAAAATTGTAATACTTGATGAAATTTCTACAGTCAATCCTAGAAAGTACATGGAGCCCAAAAGATTGATGAGTGTGAACAATACGCAACACATCACCCAAAATGACGCGATTAGATTCCTAAGAAATACCAATGTTACCATTCCTACCGCCAGTATCTCCAGACTCAAGTTCCTAATTAGTTCTTCGCCAATTATCTGCAACAACAATTATTCAGCAATATATTTCAAAAGGATTTCAATAAAGAGAATTTTCTTTACCTTATTTGTCGCCCATCTTATTAAATCTGTCGAGTGAATTGCAATGTAATCGTGCCCGTGAGTGAAGTTCACCGATTTCACGGCATCTCTGATTGCTTGCATAGCTCTTATCTGATCGGACGTTGTGCTGATAGGAATGTGTTGTACTGGAATCTGCGAAATCTGAAATTATTCGTCTCGTGAAAAAGTGTTTCGCATCTGCGGAATGCATAGGACGCAGCATTCTATTTTACGTACTGTGATGTTGTAGTCGTTAAACGGTAATTTACTGAATTTCAGATCCTGAATGTACGATTGTCCTTTCACCGTGAATAATAGATATTCCGTGAGCATATTGTAATACTCGTCTTTATTCTCGATGTATTGCGCTGATAGAAGATTGTATCATATTATTATAATAAACAGCATTTATTTACTAAATATTCACGCTAAGTCTCTTTATAACAAGATCAGATTACCTTTACCAGTGATGTTCAACCACTTCTCATACGCTACGAACCATGGGTCGAGAGTGTGATTATTGACGTACGGGTCCCGTCTGAGATTCTCCACTAGTTGAAACAGCGCTTCGCGATCCTCATAATAATCCACGCCCGTCAGATATATATTGACGTTCTTGCCGTATCTTGGAAAGTATTTCATCAGTTTGTTGTTAAACTGTATTGGGTAAGATTCCTGATTCAAGTACATGAGCGCATCAAAGTTCTGTTGCAGCTGAAATATGGCCCAGATGTTGATGCACAGCAGGGCTGCGGTAAGCAGCAGAATGATTCTTTTCATTGACGTCCTTAAAACAAAAGGTCCGATGTACTTCTCAAAGACAAATCGCTGGAAGTTCTGCTTGCTGCACTGGTTTGGTCGCCAATTGGGACGCGGCTGGCAGCAGCAACCGTCCCTCTTCGCTGCCAGTCGCCTCTCGTCGAACACCAGACAACTAACGAAGAACATGATCTCGTAGATATAGAGGAACAATATACCCATCGCGGCAAACATACAAAAAGATTTCAGGAACGGCATCACCGTCGTCATGCCAATGGCGAAAGCCACCATGTTAGTGAATGATGTCACAGTGATGGACATACCTGCAAACATAAGCATGGCATTAATTAAAATGTTAATATAATTTTAATATAGTTTTAATATAATACGCAAGATGTGCCACGTGTCCGGTCTTAATATGAACGATGAGCTCTGTTAGCCCCTCCGTTTGAACATTCCGCACTTTTAAACTAATTACAGACGGTATGTGTAGCAAGAATTATTTTCGTCCTCTTTGAGCTCGCCAAAACTTAGTCGCACCTGACACTTGAATGGACTTCGCGATGCGAGCAGGAATGTCTAGAGTCTTGTCCGCCTCAGACATGGTCTCGAGGCTCTGCATAATGACGAACATGTCGTCGACACCAATGCCGAGTAGCAGGAATGGTAGGATCGGATGCACCGGCCCGTACATAAATCCCATGTAGAAGCACAGCCCGTAGGACGACAGAAGAGCCTGGCCGACCACGCAGATCCCCATCAGGGACAGATATATCCGCTGTTGCATCGCGTTGCAACGACTGATCATCACGATCACGTAGATCGAGATCAGCGACATGCCACAGAAAAGCACGGTCATATTGCTATTGACCACCTCGTGCAACATATCGTCGTAACTACGTAACGTGATCGCATAGATCTCCATACCCGTCGGAAGAGTACGATTCGAATGTAGTACCCTATTGATGAATTCCACTTCCCATTCCGGCGAGTGCGGATTGGACTTCTTCAGCACCCAGTACAAAATCGTCGCTTTTGCACTCGTCACCTGTCCATTCTCCTCGTACTCGATGCCCGCCAGCAACGGCGCAATGTCGGAAAGTATATCTTTAGTATTCCTGCATAGAACAAACTGATATGTAAAAAAAGGAATAAAAAGATACATCAATTAATGTAACGTTTCATTTTATCTTAACCTCGTGTGATGTTTAATTGAGAAAAAAAAGAGTTAAAAAAGGTAATAATAATAAAATTAATGAAGCGTACAATTGTACGCGATGTTTATCGCGTAATTGCATACTGCAGAATTAAAATCTTTAAAAAAAAATTTGTTTAACTATTTTATTCGGAAATATAATAGAAAGCTCATTTTTTTCATCAAATTCTTGTTCCTTATAAAAAATAAAATATATTATGCTACAAATTATATTAAATTTTATTATCATCTGAGCGACTTGATTACATTGATTTCGTTATACAAAATTTCAGATACTCACGTATGTTGCATAGTTGCAGTTATGTCCTCTAGTATCTCTAATTTTGTCAAGTTATCAATATCTTTTCCACCGTCTTTTTGCCATAGTTTTAGAAGTGATTTTTGGACACAAGGTTCCTTCATCATTGTATTATTTATAATTGGTAGATATTCCTCGGGAAACTCGGTTTTATTCATCGTTTCCCATTTGTCATTTTCTTGGAACCATGTAAAAGGTCTGTAATATGTTGCAAACATTTCAATAAATTTATATATAAGAATGATCAGAGAGAGAGATATTTTCACGTATAAAGAAAAAATATTTACCCTGCACACACATCTTCCCAGGAATTATTATTCACCACTATACTCTTCACATCTTTTTCGATGTCTCTTATCTGTAATTAATTATCGATCATTATGGATGTAATCATTATCCAAACGGACGATTTATAACGTGCTTCTTCACCAGATTGAAATGATTAATTACACAATTATTATAAAAATCAATAACAGTCATGAGCAATAGAATTAAATCATTCGTTTAATATAATGTATATAGTAAATTTTATTTAAATGGAAAAAATGTATAAGAATGATGCTCGACAATCAGTGATTGATCTTGAAAATTAAAGAATTAAGAATTATGATTTGTCGAGAAAATTTTAAACAAATGTGATGAATAATTAGCTTGACTATCCCGAGGAAAATCGTGTGATTAATGTCAAAAAAAACTTTCGTTGATACACGTATAATTCATGGTCGCTTATGTACCGATCGTAGCACTTTAGGATCCAGCACATTGGTGGCAGTGACGAGGATACTTTCGTGTCTGAGATCGTCTCGGAAGTGCTCCTTTACCCAGACGGCATCTTTGCGAAATATAGAACCGACCGGCATGAAAAGTTCGATTTCGTCGACCTCCTCTTTCCAGAGCAACAATCCGAAACCACAGACAAGATTTAGGCACACGGATATCATCAACCAAACCCATGGTTTTGTGGCTATACTATATCCGATTCTGAAAAATACACAAATAGAAAAATAGAAAAAATTAAATAAAAATATAATGCAATTTTAAAAATAAGAAATAATAATTGTAACACAAAATTGATAGAAGTACAAATAAACTAAGTAAAGCATTGATTTCGAGTTCGTCAAAAAAACTATTATTAAAATTCAATTCGATGCCAGCCAAACACTTTATGCATTAAATCATATAAATTCAATCTGTAATCGTGAGACAGTAATCGATAAGTTAAGGGGGGAGCCTCGTGTAACCGGTTAAAAAAATTGAAAAATTTTTTTTGCTTTAATCAATAGCAATCCATGTAGAAAATATATTCCCAAAGTTACAAAACAAAATTCGAAGTTTTAAGGAGTCCACAGCCTATTTCTTGCGTGCAGATATACAAGCGCGCGGCAGGGCGCTTGGTCAACGGTACCATAAGATATAAGATTATAGAATTTGTAACTGTTTTTGGCGCGTTTTCGGAAGTACTTATTTGAGAGTGCAATTTGGAGAGTGCAAGCAAAGTGTGAAATTCGAAGAAGCAGGAAATCGGAGCCTCAGTTTTAAACTTGTTGTTACACTTTTCTTTTTTACTTTTCA